TGTTGTTGTTGTTGTTGTTGTTTACCACTATTGCTATCCAGCGTGATTCACACATCAGCGCACAACTCCAGTGATTGCTTCCGCAGCATATTTTTATATATTGCGGGCCTATCTGTGCTGTCGTGCTAAGTCCGGCGGAAATGGCGGAGCTCTGGGAGCTAGGGGCTCCCTCCGTCTACGGCCGAGCCCATCCGAGGTCTGCGGTCTTGGATTCTCCAACGTGGTCTACGCCGGCCTATGAGAGCTCCGACAGCGACAGCATCATCTCTGAGCCCTCGACCGTGGGCGTTCCAAGCAGCTTAGGCGAGGATGTCCTCTCAGACGGGCCGGCTGGACAGGGAGCAAATAGCCTTCAACATAGATCTCCCCCTGGATGTGGACCTGAGCTGGCGAGCTGGGCTGGAAGCGTCGGAAGCTGACCTCAAGAAGGCAATGCAGCATGGGCACGTTCATGCGGCGGATCTGTGCGCCGTCATTCAGATGCTCCCGAATAAGCAGCGGCCTCTGCGTTCCGCGGTGGCCTTTGGTGCCACTCTGCCGCCCTTGGTCTTTGGCGCGGGGGCGTATGTCCATGGCCCCATGCTGGGACTTCAGAACAACACCCTTAACTACGAGCTCCCTGTCTTGGCAGTGGCTTCGGTTATCCGCAGTATGGCCCCGGGTCGTGCAGAATGTGGCCTCACGCCTGCGCAAGGATCAGCGCAACAAGGCGGGCAGCGAAAACCTACTTCTGCCTCTCACCTGCTTCGAGGGAAGAGAGCTCTGGGTCCAAAGCGATCGCGGCCTGTCGGTCCAAGCGTTTGACCCTCATAAGCTTCACTACACTCTTCCGTGGAGCGGAGATAGGGCAGATCACCTCAGCGTCCGAATAGCGCAGTTTTGAGTCGCATGAGTTTCTTGCTCTGAGCACGGGCCACTGACCCACTCTGTCAGAAGTGTTTTGCGGTAGCCAGTGTTTCATGGAGCCCAGCCTAGAAGCCACGGAAAATTGCATCTGTTTGTTCCACTTCTAGGGTATCTCACAGACAGACCCAGCTTGGCCTGATGCCGCTGGATTGCAGGGGTTGTTTTGTTCTGAGGTCGGCAAGCGCGCGCAGACGAGACAACGAGGTCTCTCTTCCCTGTTTAGGGGTCACTACCTAGGGAAGTGCACAATGCTCTGCCGAATTCATGAGTGCCGCCAGCTGTTATGCAAGCCTGCCTGTTGTGCCGAGTGGCGGCGACTTTTGCTTGAGGGTAGCTTAGAGGGAGTGTGCCTGGTAGATAATGCTTCTCTTCCTTGACGATAGGATTGTGAAGGAAATCCTTCTCTGCCTCACAGTTCCGACGGGCCTGGCCTGCTTTGTGGATGATGGACCCGTGCCTGCCACGGGCATGTTCCTGGCCGTATGCGACAAGGCTCGATACCTACGCCCTCTTCTGGAGCCTGCAGGCGGCGAAATCGGCGCTGCGGATCGTGGCTACATAATTTTCACGAACGTTTTCCCGGCAGACATCTATGCGGTGCTGGTCAATTCGTCCAGGCATGTCTCGGCCAAAATCGCTCCCATGATGGAGAGCTTGGGGGCCCTGCAGCTGCACATTCCGGTCCTCGACCACATCACCTACGAGTTCAAAAGTGGTGGCGCCCGAGTCTGGATGCACTTTCGTGATCTCCTCATTGTTCAGTGGCGGAAATTGGGCACCAGCCAGTATTACTAATTTCGCCACTGGCGCGTGTCTCGGCCACTGGCCAGGAGCCCTGCCCTCTAGCGGTTCACAGTTTTGGCATCCTACGTAGCTGGCAGACTAGCCAGGCGCCACTAGCCTTTGGATGAAAATAGGTCTGGCTTTTGGTAGTCTAGCGAGCGGTGCGTCGCGTCCTTTCTTGTTCGTAGTTGAGCCTTGCCGGAGCGTGTGTGTCCAGACCTCAGCCTGGCTCCAGACGCCTTAGGTTTAGCTGGAAATGGCTGTGTCTCCTGACGCTCCAGCGGCATGGGCGGAGGTGCTCCAGGATTTCTTGAGTTTCTCGTGCTCACCGACAGCACGTTCCAACACCGTAACAGAGAAAGGGGTTACCTGGCAAACTATCCTCACGGCCAAGCTGGTTGCGGGGGAGTCAGGCCTGGTCGCTGTCGCGACTGGAGAGGGCGACGCGTACACAGTCTTGGATCGTGGCTCCAGAATACAGGGCGCTCTCTCGGCTATGTCTGGCAAGATGTGTGAATATCCGGCCCTTCGGGATCTGGCAGCCGACCGCAACCGGTTTCTGCTCATTGCCTCCTCCACAAAGACATCTACGACCACACTGCCCGCAAGATGGAGCTGATGGCTCGACTCATCATCGCTCAGGATGGCAAGCGGGTACTGGTTAAGCACAACTGCGGTGACTCGCAGTACTACCTGCAACAGCATCCAGACTCCTCGCTTGCCCCCACCAAGCGTCACAAGCCTCAGCAACAGCGCGGCAACCAGTACAGTCGCCCTCCACGAGATAGCTACAGGGCAACCTCGCCTGCAAGAGCTGACCTCCCTACCCGCCCCTCAGTCCTCGCCCAACGCCTGGACTTGGGATGATTGGCGGCAGCAGCAGTGGCGCGTGTATGAGGCCGAGGATCAGTCATCGTGGCAGTCCAGCTGGTGAGGACAATGGCAACAGGGCTAGCACCGTTAGGGGCACTGCCTTAGGTCCGGCACTGCTGGCCACGCATCAAGCTGACCTCGTGCTCAGGCGTAAGACGTCAAAGGCGCTCGCGCAGACTTTTTTGAGCTTCCACAGCTCCGTGTCAAAAAGTGTCAGGAGCGCAGAGAGTGCAGACCCATCTTACCCTGTGCTTGCCTTGCGACTTCGATTTCATGACAGGCTGTGACGCCGCTGAGTAGCGTGCAGATACTAGGCCCAGTGGAGGACCTAAGGGCCTCGTGTGCTTGCGACAGGATCCCTAGCGACGGAGCAGCTGGGTAGCTAGTGCGTAGCTCTCTCTGGGGCTGTGGTAGAGTTCTGTTTTACTTCTTCTGATTCCTATCCTTGGTCTACTGGGCCGCAGACACATGCTAACAAGTCACATGTTCGTTTCACTTGGAGTGAAGGGTCAGAAGTGCCCACTATGCTCAGAGCACGCTCGAGCTGCGTTCAGTTCAAATTGCTGTTTGCCTCCCATTTATGCCGCCATATCATGGGCATGTCTTTCTCTACAACCCCTCTCTTTGAGTTTTGGGTTTAGGGTTCATGCCAGCTCAGAATAACACTTTCTATCCTATATTATGAGCGTTATATAGCGGTTTATAATCCCTACAGAACCCCGACCTTTTCCTATATGGCCCCTACATAACCCTTCTGTAACTCCTAGAGGCATTCGTTATTCTAATGAGACAGCCAGCTGAGGCACCAGCTACGGCACTTTGAGCAGACTGCTCGAGGCTTTAGGGTATTGGGTTTAGGGCTCTGCGTTTGTGGCTTTGGGGTTCTGTAGTTTGAGAAGACTCCTGGAGGTATTGGCGTCGGCGTCCATGGGGGCTCTACTTCTTGTTGCCTACCTCCACAACCGTCTTGTTTGGTCGATTCAGCACAAGTTCGTGAATGCGTCGCTGGTTTGAAAGACAGTCGCTCATTTCGGTGAAGGGCTTTGGATTCGATTTTGTTGCCGGAAGTTGCATATTAGGGGCGGACGTTGGTGTTGACCGCAGTAAAACGTGTTGCATCATGTGGCGAGACTCGATCTTCTGCTAGGCGTGCCGGTGTTGTTCCGCTTCTGTGCAGTGGCCCTTCATAAAGGTCCCAGTATTGAAATGTCAAGATCTTGTGACCCCCACGACTTCGTTGGACAGCTCTGAGCTTAACAAGAACATCCCAGCAACATTCATGCAGGTGTGGGTTCAGACAGTCTTACAGTCTCCAAAGCAACATTTGATAGTTTCCCTGAACGGACGGGTGTCAGTTCAGATAGGCTAGTCTCAAAAGCAACATTTGATAGTTTCCCTAAACGGAGGGGACCCCAATATAGACCCCGATATATTGTCATTCGGGAAACCCTATTCGTCAATTGAGTGCATGGGCCAAACCCTAAATCCTAAACCATTCTCCTAAACCCTAAGCCATTCTGAGGTTGGTTATCGTGGCCAGCATGAGGAATTTCACGCGCCAAGGCAAGCCGTCCATTGCGTTTGACAGTGTGTCATTCGAGCAACTCAAGTTTCCAGGCCGGCCGGTGCAGGAAATGGACGCCCTATGTCTCAAAGGGCTCAAAAGGTGGGGTGAAGGAAGGTGGGGCATAGGAAAAAGCCCCAATATGGTAAAGTATGTGCTAGGGATCGTTTAACCCACCTACCTCCATCCCACCTTTTCAAACCCCTGAATGTCCCTATGAGGGGTTATGTAGGGTTTAGGGATGCTCTCCTCCAACAGGGGATAGGGGTTACATTTTGTAGGGGGATTTAGGTTGGAGAACCAAACGGAAAAACTGGACAATGAAAAGGACATCGCGGGTCCTTTTGAGGTGTTATTTGAGGGATAAATATCCTGTAGTGATATTATCCCTAAAAATTGAGACTCAAATAGAAAGAAACCGAACAACACAATGGAAACCTTGTTTTTTTCAGGAGTTGAGCAGGTGTGATATAGGGTTTACGGCACTACCCAAAAACCTAGCGTTTGCATAGGGGTTATGTAGGCCTTAGGGAGGTATCCCCCAGACTAGGACAATCAAATGGAAGAGAAAACGGAAAATGAAATGGGGTTGTGGGGGGTTGAGGGATATAACCCCCCCCCAACGATGTAGAATCACATACGCAAGAACATGGAAAATGCAATGAAGCCGAATAGCCTTACCAAGGCGCTTTCCCGCTGCCGAGCAACTTCATTGCAATCGCGCTGCAAGATGCGCTGGTGGAGGCTGAGGCGGGGTTCCCTATATTTCCCTGCTTACATGTTGCAAGCATCACCTTGTGTGTGGTTGAAGGGGGTTCACCATACCCCCAAAGTAATGTTTGTTGGGGAGTTTCCCAAAACAATGGATCCTCAATATATTATAATCCTTATTATGGGGACACCAAATAAAAGGTACCTCTAATCTTAGGCAACCCTAGACCTAAACCCTATAACATCCCTATTTGGCCCCTACCTCCCCTTTAAAGGGACCCCTACTTTGGAGAACCCTCCCCCAATTTTGACAAACCACTGCGTAGGGAGCCCTGTAAGGTCGTTGACGCTTCTGCGGAGGGCGATGACGTCGGGGACTCCAGGCCCAGGCCCAGAAAAAAAAAGCCGAAGCTGGAGTTTATGCTGCGGACTGAAGCTGGGTTGCGGTAAAGGATTTTTTGTTTAACATACTGTAATAAGGAAACCCTATGATTTAGGGTTTAGGGTTTAGGGTTACTATAATAAGGAAACCCTATGATTTGGGGTTTAGGGTTTAGGGTTCACGGTTACTATAATAAGGAAACCCTGTGATTTACCATGTGCCCATACTATGGGAATTCGATTTAAGTTTCTCAACAGCAACCCAGGCAGACCCAGAAGAGCTCATTAATGTGCGAGCCCAAGTCTATGACGGTCACTGCCACATGGGGGTTGATTTAACTGTCATGGAGCGCTATCACTCCGGGTTCCTGTTGGTCTTTAAGCACGTATATAATACAAATGCAGGAAATGGTTTTTCCAATCTGGCCATCTTGTCTAACAGGAAATTTCGATTCATTACCACATGTCATTCCTAAGCCCAAAACCTTAAGCCGTGCTTCAACTTTGAGGCTCAAAATTGCTTGAAGGGCTGCACGGAAAGACTGCGCGGAGCCACTCCCACTTTGCCTTCAGCAAAAAGCATGGAGCCCCTGTGCCAGAGGGAGACAGAGTAGTCCCCTTCTGCCTGCTTTGTGAAGCACCCCTTGACCTGTTACTGGTGACTGTTCTTTGTAGTGACCTGTCATGATTCATGCGTTAGCTGCTGGAGTTTTTCGCCGGAAGGGTGTTTTTTTGGGGGAAGGGGACGCCTTCACGTGGCGTGCTCATGTGGGACTTGGAATCACGTGGAATCACAAACCCCACATATCTTTATATGAGAGTTTCTCGAAATGTATACAACCCCCAGTACCAATCCCCACAATCCCCATCTAAACCTGAAACCCTAAATTACTAAACCCCAAGCCCTATAATCCCCATATATCCACTTGAGAATTTGAGAAACTCCTCTGTTTGCTTGGCCTATCTGCTGGGGAAGAGCCATGGTCACGGCTGGGGAATGCTAAGCACTCCCTGGGCCTTTTTCTGGGTTGCTGTTAAGGAACTTAAATGAAGTTACTACATTGGGGAAACCCAATTATTTACTATATATACCCATTATGGTAACTTAATTTAAGTTCCTTAACAGCAACCCAGTTTTCTGAAGCTCGCCTGTAGCACAAAGACATTAGCAGGTGTCAAAAAGCACTGCGCAGTACTTGATGCTTGTCCTTGTCATGTATACTAGGTGGAACTTTGCTACAACTTCTGCGGTTCATCTACGTCATAGTATGGGAGCCAAAGGTTCAATTTCTATGGGGGGATTGCCAAAACCTCCATAAACATCACCCGGGTCAGGGTTGAGGGCCCATGAGCCCATACTTTATGTGCTTTTTGCTCTCGTCTGGCACATTGAAACATCCCCCCGGACCAGTGGAAGCCCTTACAGGGAAACTAGTCAAGAAGGAGTCCAGATGAGCCATAGTCTGAACTCCTAGTACCCCCCTTAGTGGGCCCTATAATAGTCTCCTATCCAAGCCCTAAACCCTTGATAACTTAATAAACCTTATGATGGTCTTCCATTTAAACTCTAAACCCTAAATTCTGAATAACTCAAGAATCTTGATCATAGTCCCCTATATAACCCCCCTTTACGGAGTTTAGGCCTCAAACCCTAAACCCTAGATCCTAAACCCTAAACCCTAAATCCTCGCCCTGAACACGTTTCCATGTTCTGCCAGGACCTAAAACGTAAACCCGTAAATTCACAGCACCCCAACCTTCCCCCAAACCCGAATCAGTACAGTGTAGACCTATGCTCGCTTTTAGCATTTTGGCTGGAAGCACATGCCGAGGGCAGCAGCTTCTCATACAGATTCTACTGCTTTGGCCCCTACGTTGAGACACAGCACTGCGCCTAGGCATACCTCGGCATGGAGGAACGCAAAAAAAATGATCAGGGGTTATGTGCGGGCTACTGGCTACTCTAGAGATCCATTCATCCATTCCCTACTAGTCACCTGCAATTACCCACTGGTGCTTCCCTACAACTTTTGAACTTTAATGCTCTTAGGGTTATTCCTCCTTACCGTACTAAGAATTGTTTTCGCGGGGAGTTAAATCAATATTATTCATCCCCGTACCCCAGCCCTCTTAATCAACCAGTAGGTTTAGTTTCGGACTAGTGGCTGAAAGGCAGACTTGAGCATCACAAATCAGTCTCCCAGGTGCCTCTCATTAGGATGTTGGAGATGCATCAATGTGTATGCCGAAGCCCTCAACCCTAAACCCTAAACCCACTAAACCCCTGGCTGGATAGCAAGCTTGCCTTCCAAGAGGGCAGTTGTATTGCCATGGTGTTCCAACTCCTACAGAACTTGGTTGAGGTCAGCTTGGTTGCGTTTGGCACCTTGCTGACTTTGAGCCCCTTTGCTGTAGGAGGCACGATATATATGGCGCTCGGTGGATCCGGCCATTATGTTGCTAATGTCACAGTGCTAGAGTTCCGCACTTCCGCTTACGCTGAGTCATGTGATTTGCGCTCTGGTGCTGCATTTGATATCACGGCTCCTTCCCCTCTCGACTATGACGGAAGTTTTTGGCAAGCCATAGAAGGGCTCACAGCATGCCTCATGATTTCACAGATTGCTGCCTTGGTCTTTAGCATCGCGCTGGCACCCAAGTTTCCGATCCCAAACCGCTCGGCATGGGAAAACAATGAAGCCGACAAACTTGGAGTAGATGATCTTACCGTTGAAGACTGGGATGCATGTAGAAAGGCGATCTTTCGCGCGATTGATCTTTTTCAGCCGGGCTCATTTCTTAACTCAGAACCACTGGACAAGTACATCTATGAGGATGGTCGCCTTTCCCACGACCATGACTGGAAGGAAGCTTGGCATTCACAAACGAGTCGACACCTAGATGATCTGAGTCTCCACTCAATGCGCAAGGTGTTTCGCTACATGAAGCTGGCAGTGAAAGCTCGTCAAAAGATAGTGTTGAATGTCCAGCTGGCCCATGCTTTATTCATATTGCAGCTTTTCAACACAGCAGCCCAATCATTGCAGCACGCTTACCGCAGCAACCGACTTTTCTGGCATCAGGTGAACGCGTACAGCTTCTCTGACGCTGTGGTGCTTGCAGCCTATCCGACAAAATTGTTCACGACCATTGTGATGTACTCCAGGGTTGTTATTTCGGCATCAGCCGTCAACAGCTTCTTTCGAGAAGTTTCGTTGCTGGCTCATAAAGGCACCGGGCTTGCTGCCGAGGTAGCTGTTTTGTGTTATTTCGCTGTCACACCACCTGATTTGGTGTCCGTAGTCCTGTTCACTTCATTTCATCACGTCTTTGATAGAATCTACCGGAGATGCTGTGGGCCCATGACGCAGTGGAAGGGGATCTGCTTTGCGATGCTGTCTGCAAGCACGCTACTGTTCGTACCCCTGCTAGTGCATTCATCAACTAGATGGATGTTTGGTGAGTCATCAAATGCCAGTACTATCATGTTGCGCCTCTGTGATATGGAACGCATCTTATTATGGGACGTGCAGGGGTATGATGTGTCCGACTTTGCATTCCATCTTCTCTCATCGCTGGATCAGAACATGGCCGGCCTGCTGGTTGCTTCTTTTATTGGAGCACTTATAATTGGCGTGGTTGCAAAGTATAGTGGACATAGCCTAGGAGGCGGGACGGCTCTTCTGGGTATTCGCCCAGGCACGATGCTCAAAGTTTGGGTGTTGCAGCCTGAGTATTATTCCACCGGCTTTCACTACAATGAAAGAAGTCAGAGAGTAGCACCCATCTTAGGGGCGAGTTGGTGGTGGCACACTGTTGGCTTGTTTAATCCCAAGTATGAGGCGCATTACCAACATTTTGAGAAGACGTTTTACCTGCGCTACCGTCTGATGCGACATTTTGGCTTGACGATTGTTTGGCCGTCAGATGCCAAGCGCCTTGGCCTTCGTGGCATACTGCCGCCCCTGCGTTCTCTCCGGCAATCGGAGCTGACAGATGGGCTGCGTTGCCACAGATGCCAGGGCAAGCTTTGGGACGAGCATTTGCAGGATTCTTCTATGTTCTTGCAGTTCATTCATTGCCGTCTTTGCCTTGCCAGCTTGTGCCTGCAAAGTGCCTTCGCAGAGACTGTGGCATGGTACTGCACCAACAAATCATGCATGGACAGGCTCATCTGTTGCCAACGATGCGCTCACCAGGTCCGTACTGGGGATGCCGCTTGGACGTATGAAGCGCTGCGAGCCATTGAATCCACACCATGCGCGACAGTGGAAATGCCCAACCCTGCTAACAATCCACTCCAGCCTGAGCCTTTTGAGACGCCTCCTGAGCAAGTCTCAGCAAATCCAGCAAAACTGGTGGACGTTGTTTCCCTTCCCTGTCATTCCCCAGGAGATCCTCCCCCACAAGGCTCGGATCAAGCGCAGCGAGGTGAAGTACCAGACTCCACCAGACAACCCCAGAGTCCCAAGAGGAGGAAGCTGAAGCCAAGGCGTCGCATCAGCAAAGATGAGCCAGCGGCAATTACGGTGGATATTCAAAATCCTGCCTGACCCTAAAAAGTACCTTAAACCTTGGGAAGTAGGGTATTATGGTATACTAAGGTCATGCAGGATTTTACTACGTATCAACTGTTAGTGCAGAGCCTAAAGTTCTAGGCACGCCGGAGTCAGGGTGACTTGAGCGCATCACAGCAGCTTTCCTTATACGCATCTCCAGAGAAAAGAGCCCTGGAGTGTAGCAACCTTTGTCGAAGACACCCTGGTGCTACTGTCAGCACCCCGGAGGAAAATCTGTTCCTTCCATTCTTGGGTGCAGGGGACAATCAAAACCTAAGCCTTACTGGTGCTTAGGGGCATTGGCCGTGGACGATCCAAACCTAAGCCTGACAAGGGCTTAAGGATAGTGGCTTCAAGTAGAAGATTGCACTAACAGCATTTGTTAGGGCAAAGCACGGCCCGGAAAGCTGCGGGAACAACACGAGACGTGATTCATGCCACTTGCTGCGGAAGATTCTTGCAAATGCTGTGGCTTGTGCTGATGTCATTGTGTCATGTGGGATGAAACCCAAATTTGTTACTTTCACTCAGCGCGTGCACCGTTGATGGGATTTGTTTTTTGCATCCTTGGCCAGGATATCAGTTCAATACCTAGTGAGCTAAAATTGACGCCGGGATGTGGGCGATCGAATTAAGTCAACGGAGGTAACCCATGGATGAGGGGTGGTGCTTGGCAAAGGAAGTTGGTTGTTCCTGGCGAATTAACAGTTTCACAACGATTGAGAGCTTGGGTACTGTGTGCCAACGTTTCAGCGGTTTATCAAGGTGTTGTTTTGATATTCAGCAACCATTTTGTACAGTATCCTGAATAAAGGCACCTTTTTGTCAGGCGGGGGGTGCTTCTGCACGGTTTTTGTTTGGCTATTGCCGCGTTGTTCATCTGGTTATTGTATGTTTCGTGCTAAACGTTCCATGTTTATAACATTTTGGTTGGATGCCCTTGCAGTCACATTTTCCCCATGCAATTTCAACAAACTTGTAGGTGGGGATTTTTTCCTTAATGGCCTTCATATACAACGCATTTGGGTTCAAGGTCTGTGGACATGTCAAAAGCG